GGAGTGGCTCTGGCAGCCGAGCTTCTGTATGGTTTCTCCCTAAGCTCAGGTCCTCCTGGTGGGAGTAGGGGTGGGGGTGGGGGGCAGGTTCTCTTCATGCCCAATAACTGTCCTTCAACGCCTCTGACCCCAGGCAACTGGAAAGAAGGTTTGCTGAAATCCATCAGTCCTGAGGAACTGCCTGTCCAGTATGGGGGGACCATGACTGACCCAGATGGGAACCCTAAATGTTTAACGAAGGTACAGAGACCCCCTAAGACAGGGAGGGGAGGGGAGTAGAGCTGAGTTGCTTTCTCACCCACTCATTCATTCCACAAATGTTCATGGAGAGACCCCTGTGAGCAAGTTGTGGAGCCACACAGGCCCAGCCCTGCCTTTCAGCAGCTGTGCAGGCGAACAAGGAATGAGGACATTTTGGCCCAGAGGGATGAGCTGGAAAAGGAAGTTCCCGGCCTGGAGGGTCAGGGTTGGGGCGCGGGGGTGGGGGTGGGGTGGGAGAGGACAGGATGGGCAGAATACTTCCAGGAAATGGTGAAAGCATCTCAGGCAGATGCACCAGCATGAATAATGCGAGGGCTGGAAGCTGGGAGCCGGCCCATCCCATCCTATGTCCGCAGATCAACTACGGTGGGGAGGTCCCCAAGTCCATGTACGTGAGGGACCAGGTAAAGACTCAGTACGAGCACTCCGTGCAGATCAGCCGCGGCTCCTCGCACCAGGTGGAGTATGAGATCCTGTTCCCGGGCTGTGTCCTCAGGTAGGCACAGGCCACTGACCCACCCCTGGCTGGGGACTAGGCCCTGGGGGACCCCTCAGACTGAGCGGTAGGTAACTTGTCCCTCGTCCCCCACCCATGTCCAGGTGGCAGTTCTATTCAGATGGGGCGGACATCGGCTTCGGGATTTTCCTGAAGACCAAGATGGGGGAGCGGCAGAAGGCGGGGGAGATGACCGAGGTGCTGCCCACCCAGCGCTACAACGCCCACATGGTGCCGGAGGACGGGAGCCTCACCTGCTCGGAAGCTGGCGTCTGTAAGTGCGCCCCAGCCGGGACCCAGCTCCTGAAAGCTGATGTCACCTGTCCCAGGGTGTAGAGAAGGAAAAGGAGGGTGCTGGCCCCTGTCCCAGGCACACAGCTGAGGTTAGCGCCATTCATTCACACCCGAGGATATTTTTCCATTGATCTTTTAGAGAGAAACAGGGATGTGAGAGAAACACATCCATTGGTTGATTGGTTGATTGGTTGCAAGGTATGCGCCCTTCCTTGGCCGGAATCAAACCCAGGACCCTTTGGTCCGCAGGCCGACGCTCTATCCACTGAGCCAAACTGGCCAGGGTTGAAAGCTGCTCATTTGGTCCACACCTGTGTGCACCAAGAGCCAGAGACCCACGGACCCTACAGGGGTTGAGAAACCTTGGTTCCCGGGACACAGGCCAGGGATGATGGGACAGGTGCGACTCTCCCCAGGAGGAAGCTGGGCTCAGAGAAGCCGGTCAGCTTGTCCAGAGCCACACAGCCACGTGCGGGGCCAGGATGCCACCTCAGCCTCGTGCTCGCCGTGTAACCTTGGGCGAAAGTCTTTCCTGTCTGGACCCTTGGTTTGCACTCACCTGTGAAGCAGAGATTACAAGCCCTGCTTCTTGGGGTGCCCGTGGGGGAGGCAGAGGGCATGTGCAGGCTTGGCCCGGAACCCCAGGGGCCGGGAGGCCTCTGATGGCCCCCCCGCCAACCCCCATTATGCAAGCGTCCAGGTGTGAAGACAATGGGATGCCGTGGCCATTGTTCTGGTTGCCAGTTTGTGCAACTAAAGCCAGGCTGGACACAGGCCAGCAGGCGGTCAGTGTCTGTTTACAGGCCCTGCTCAGGGGTGGCAGTTCCCATGGGGAAGGAAACAGTCGTGGTGGGAACTTGACTCGGCTTGGCAAACACAGGAAGGGGAAACACAGCCAGTCCTCCCCCGTGGCTGGGGCAGGGACACAGGAGTGTACAGCCAGGGCCAACCACCTGTCTGTCCCTCTGTCCCCCCAGACGTCCTGCGCTTCGACAACACCTATAGCTTTGTCCACACCAAGAAGGTCAGCTTCACGGTGGAGGTCCTGCTCCCAGACAAGGGCATGCAGAAATACGACGAGGAGCTCACCCCCATCTAGGCGCTGCGTCACTGCGCAGAGATCTCTGGCCCCCTGCTTTGCCTATAGATCTCCTATCCTCCCGCCAGAAACTGATCATTAGTTCTCCTGAGCCTGACAGTAATGAGTAGAGAAGGAGCCGCTTTGGGGGGAGATTCAGACGCTGTGGTCACATCAGGAAAGGTATGAGAGACGCAGCCTTGGAGGAGGCCAATGTTGCAGAAGAGAAAGGAGCAAGGGTCACAGCAAGAGGTAGAGGTCGCTGAAACCCAAGAAGTAGAAAAGTCAATCTCCTACCCTTTGCCCCCACATCTCCTAAGTTGCTTGAGTTTCTTTCCTAAGAACTTATGAGCCTGGCCAGCGTGGCTCAGTGGTTGAGTGTCGATCTATGGACCAGGAGGTCACGGTTCATTCCGGGTCAGGGCACAGGGCTAGGTTGTAGACTCGATCCCCAGTGGGGGACACACAGGAAGCAGCCAATCCATGATTCTCTCTCATCATTGATATTTTTATTTCTCTCTCCCCCTCCCTTCCTCTCTGAAATCAATAAAAATATATTTAAAAAAAAAGAACTATGGGTTGGAGATGTATCTAATTTTTTTTTTTACTTCTACTCCCTGTATAGCAGATGTATGTAAGGAGTACAGCTTTACAGTGTGTCCTTGTGACGTTGAATGGAGATAGGGAGCAGGTGACCATGGACGGGCATGAGGGGAAGGCGCCTGCCTACCCGGGCAGATTTCAGCACCTTGGACAGGAGCAGAGCCCTGGACGGGGATGGACTGACTATCCTGGAGACTCAGGCAATCAGCCCCCGGATTCCTGGCAGTGGCTGCCCCCTCGGGTCGGTAGGCGATGTTCCCACGATGACTCTATCTGATTCAGGGTGCAGAGCTCCCCCCGTCCAGCACTCCCACCCTCATTTCTTTCCCTTGGAACTTACAGCTTGTGTTTTAAACAAAGGGACTGAACCAGAACATCGGCATACTTTATATGCCGACGGGTTATCATCCGTCCATGCCTCTTGCCACATTAAGAACAGCCAAGTTGCCCGGCCAGCGCGGCCCCGTGGTTGAGCGTCGACCTATGAACCAGGAGGTCACAGTTCGATTCCTGGGCAGGGCACATGCCCGGGTTGCGGGCTTGATCCCCAGCGTGGGGCGTGCAGGAGGCAGCCAATCCATGATTCTCTCTCATCACTGATGTTTCTCTCTCTCTCTCTCTCTTCCAGTCCCTTCCTCTCTGAAATCAATAAAAATAAATTAAAAGGAAGAAAGAAAAAAGGACAGCCAATGTTTGTGGAGCTCGCCCTGTGAGCCCTGCCCTGGCTGATTGCCTTTGGGAGCCATTTCTCCCGTAATCCTCACGGCCACTTTGGGAGATCACGTAGAGTTGTACGTGAGGAGACCAAAGCTCAGCCTGTGAGTCGGATCTGCCCCCGACGATGTAGAGAGCTGTGGGCTGGAAGGCAATAGTCAGGGGATCAGTACCGGGCCGGGGGAAAGGTGAGGCGAGGCAGTGGGAAGGTCACAGGCTGTGGGATGTTCTGGGTGAGTTTGGGCCGGTGACTCAGACTCCAGGAAACCAGGATGTGTTTGCCAGGAGTAAGAGAGCCGCACACATCACAGGAAGCACTTAGCACAGGCCCTGGCACATTCTAGGAGCAGTTCCCTAGTAGATGCAGCTCTCAGTAACCCTGGGAGCAGTTTGAACCAGCTGACATGGGCACCTTGGGAGATGCTGCCTCCTGGTGGTGATGCTGAGCATTGCGTGAAAGTGGACAGGGAGGGACCTGACTCCCAGCATGCTCTAGGGCAGAGGTTCTCAACCTGTGGGTCGCAACCCTTTGGGCATGGGTTCTCAACCTGTGGGTCGCGACCCATTTGGGAGGCGGTTCTCAACCTGTGGGTAGCGACCCCCTTGGACATGGGTTCTAACATGAGGATCGCAACCCCTTGGGCATGGGTTCTCAATCTGTGAACCCACAGGTTGAGAACCGCTGGCCTACAGAGAAGCTGGGCGTCGCCCAAGGCCGTGAGGCTGGCCAGTGGCAGAGAGGCCCTTAGTTTC